TGGGGTATCCTTTCCCCCAAGTGGATGCACATACTAAAGTATTTGGCTATAATGTCATGGTCAATCTTTAGAGCATCTCTTCTCCTAGGCAGATGCACTTAGAGAGGAGGTCGGCAACGTGATTTTACTCTCTAGCAATGTGCTTGATTTTGAAGCTTGCAAACTTTCATATTGCAATATTCACCTTATGAAAGTATCTGGCCATCATGCCATGTCTGGCTTCAAAGTCATCATTTACTTGGTTCAGCACCAGCTATGAATCAGATTTTATCACAAGGTGCCAAGTGCCCATCTCATAAGCAAAGCACAGCCCGGTGATTAAGGCCTCATACTCAACATGATTGTTTGTGACTTTGATTTTTAATTGAATTGAGTTGTACAATTATTTTCCGGTTGGACTGTCAAATTGAGACCAGGCCCCACTCTCGTTTGGCTCGAAACCATGTCAATGTGAAGCACTCAAGTCTATATGTCAGTAGTTATTTCTTTCCCTTACTCACTTTGCTCGAAAATGTTTGTCATAAAATATGTTATCTCTTGTACTTTGATTGCTATATGGGCCACATAAGAGATGTCAAATTTTTTTTAGTTCTATCTCCCACTTGAGGAGTCGACCAGAGTGTTCCGGCCAAGTAAGAATGGACTTGAAAGGGTTATCAATGATCCTCAAATTGGATGAGTTTGAAAATATGGTCAGAGCTAATGAGCAGAAACATTAAGAGAAAATGTTAACTTCTTCATAATTGGGTACTTGGCCTCTACATCTCGGAGGACCTTATTGGTGTGGTAGACTGAGAACTGCTTCCCCAACTCTTCTAAGACCAAAATGGAGCTGACTCCCTCTGGCTCAACCCCAATGTACAGAGAGTGTTTCTCATTCAACTTCAAACTCTGAAGATGTGGTGGCAATAATAAAGAATCTTTCAGCTTCTAGAATGCATGCTCACATTCAACTGATCATTCAAAGATTTTTACTTATAGTTTTGAAGAAGGTCGCACAATTGTCACATGATTTGGAAATGAACCAACTCAGACCTGTGATTCAACCGATTAGCTTCTATACTTCTTTAGTATTCCGAGAGGAAGACATTTCCAACAATGCATGTACTTTTCTCAAATTGGCCTTGATTCCTTCAAGGGTTAAGAGATAGTAGAGAAATTTTCTAGGTGAGGCCCTAAAGATACATCTGAGTGGATTCAATCTCATATTATATTTTAGAAGGGTTTTGAACTTTTCTTTTAGATCATTTAGGTGTTATTCGACAAATTTATTTTTAATTAGCATATCATCCACATATTTTTACCCTTTATTTAGTAAATATTATATTCATGAGCTATTGCTAAGTAACTTCATTATTGTTAAGCTTAAAAAGAATTAGATCATAACAAAAGACACCATTACTGGTTATAAAGGCTATCTTCTTTGCATCGACCGGTGCATCACAATCTGATGGTACCTGAAGAAGGCATCTAGAAAACTCATCACAAAGTGGCTGACCGTTGAGCCTGCCAGCATGTGGATCCTTAATGACAGGTAGTTACCCTCGAGCATGAAGAGTTCAAATTGATGATGTCAACTCATGTCCTCTATTTGTTGTTAGCCTTTTGCACCATATCCACGTTCGACACCTAGGTCAGGTATTGCACCTCTCGGATGTAGCCGACCTTTTATAATAATGCACCTCCTCTCATATTGGTTCTATAAAGGTGATTGATGAAGTTCTCATATTTTGCTTCATTGGCCAGGAAGTGGGATTGATGTTCAATCCATGTCAAGAAACGTCAATTGGTATCCTTTACATCTCTAAGGCTGACCAGGTGAAAACGTCTCGGTGCTTTTGGAGGGTTTAAAGCACGTCTTTTGATCTTGCATCAAAAGCTTCACTTATCAATAAATTTACAATGTTCACCTTCAACCACAAGTATTTAATGGGTGATTATGCTGGCCTCGAGACCCCCTCATGCATGTTTTGAATGTCGAGCGGTTCCTACTCTACTCTTTTGACTTCCCAGAGGTAAAAAGTCTAGGACTGCTCTGAATTGCCCCAAACGGTGATGACCGCTCCATTGCTTAAAAATTTTACATAACGTGGTACATTGAGACCATGAACTTTAAGTCATTGAGTAGTGGCCAAATGAAGATGACATTGTAGGTTAGCAGTGAATCAACAACCAAAAAATATTCCATATAAGTGAACAGCTTCTCACCTGCAAAAGCGATTATTCCTAAGGCTTCCTTTCTCTCGCCTGAGAAGCCGTAAAGTGGTTTGAACGACTTAGCCAGTCGGTTGCCCTTAGGTCCTATCTTGGTTAACAGTGACTTGAACATAGAACTCCCAGTGTCAACTAAGATGCTACCAATCTGGTAGTTGATTATCAAGGAAGTGACAATGATAGCGTCATTATAAAGATTCCCCTTGGTGCCAAATCTGCATCGATGAATGTAATGTGTAGGTGGATGATGGGCTTCAGAGCAAATACAACTACGCAAAATTCTCCCAACTCGAGCCTCTTTAGATTAGCTCACCAGGATGAATCTTCATTTCCTACAACGTTTGTCGTTACCACTCCAACGATCTGAATGGCATTCACTCAGACCGATTTTACTGAAATTCCCTCTATCGAAGCCTTCCATTATCTCTGAGTCGTTCCTTTAGGTGCTAAAAACTCATTGAGTTTTCTAACTCTAATCAGCTCTTTAACTAGGCTACAAAGGTATCAGCATCCCTCAGTATCGTAGTCATGGTCTCTATGGTATGCACAACATTTCTTTCGAACCATAAGAAAATCTTCAATCCTCAATAGTGGAATCTTCTTGAAATAATTCTTGTTTTGGATGGTCTCCACTACCTCAATCTTTGAGACCTGCAGCGGAGTTGTCTTCCGTGCTTCAAGATGAACGGATGGGCGCACGCTATAATGAGTCGGTCGCTCGCTATAATAAGTCGGTCGTTAATCAGGGTATTGGACTTGAATCCCTCGGTTGTGGATTCTAATAACTCCCCTGTTGTCCCAAGCTGACCGGTTGTCTTCATATCGTGGGCAAGTTGAAGGATGCAAATCTTCCCTCAATCTCCACCTATGAACCTTAGAGGCCCTCTTCTGCAGGCAACGGGTGGACGGTTTTATTTCTAATGGAAGTAGGGGTGAAATTTTACTCCTCAGCCAAGATATGGTTGTTAGCTAGCTCTATTAGCTCGACTAAAGTCTTCAATCGCAGAAGGCCTGAAGCGTAGCCCAAAGATCCTTCTTTCGGCCCTTGAGTTAGGAAGGTGTATGCTACTGGGGGTTCTAGATCCCACACCTCCAGCGTCTCCCTCTGTTATCGGGTGATGAATGAAAGTGAGCTCCCAATCTGCCCATTTCTGATCTAAAACAGAGCTTACGAACTCTTCTTAAGCTTTTAGGCACTCACAAAATACGTCATGAATATCTGATTGAAGTCTCTAAATGATTTAATTACTCCCGCTCGCAATCTACTAAAGCATGCAAAGGTCAACTCCCTCAGCATAGTGAAGAATATGCAAAACTTCAATATTTTTGTGATTCTCAGCAAACAAATGGTCAACTCGAAGGAGGCAATGTGGTCGGTCGGATAAGTCAGACCCTTGTAGGATTTTAGATAGGAACATTGAATTTCTCAGGGAGCTCAGCCTAAAAATTTGCTGACTATAACTGATGAGGTTCCTCAATCACCCAAAGCATTATCTATCAAATTGTATTGACCTAGCACCGTCACGATACTGGACATCTTTGACTGTTTCTTCTAGCAGAGGTACCCTTCAGTCGTTGGTCTTCAACACTTCCTATCAGGGGTTTTGCTCCCTTCCACTTTTTTGGTGTTCATCATCTCGTCCTTCAACTCATGTATTTGTTGTTATACAAACTCCCTAGTGAACTCCGTGTTGGTGGTGTCTTTATTATGGTTTCTTCTCCTTGTGTTATTCCTCTTCTTAATGTTGGCATGATCCACGCTCACCACACCTTTTAAGATATTGAATTTGAAATTATTTGTTAATCACACACCCAAGAAATAGAGCGTAGAATATAAGAGAGTGAGAGAGAGAAAAAGAGAGAGAGAGAGAGAGAGAGAGAGAGAGAGAGAGAGAGAGAGAGAGAGAGAGAGAGAGAGAGAGAGAGAGAGAGAGAGAGAGAGAGAGAGAGAGAGAGAGAGAGAGAGAGAGAGAGAGAGAGAGAGAGAGAGAGAGAGAGAGAGAGAGAGAGATA